CCATACGAGGCTGGCATCCCGCTCTCACCCCTTCACTGTCGAAACTCCTAAATGTAGCCGTCTCTTCTACTCCAATAGCTTCATGTCTCGCACATATCGCCTTTGGAACTCCCTTCCCTTTTCCTGTTTCTCTGTGAGCTATAATCTCCAGCTATTCAAGTGTAATGTCAATCGACATCTCCAGTTGCCTTGATCTAGCCACTACCCTCATCCTTTCTTCTATCACTCCTATCTGATCTTGCTCTAAATTTTCTGTAACCCCTTGCGTCCTAGTGGCTTCCCACCTTGCTTGGGTTGAAATGCTTAAAAAAAAATTAAACTGTATTCTAAAATATAACTTAAAAAAACTGCAACATAAATCACACATGTTTTTCACACAAACACGTATATGCACAAAAGCTGAGTATCATTTTAAGATTTTAATGCTTGCATTTTATGCATGGAATCAGCCTGGATTTTGTTTACGCTTTCAAACTATTCTTTTATTTTTTGTTGTTTATTTCGTGTTGTCAAGCAAATGAATGTTTGTATCAGAGAAGAAATAGCAAAAAAAAAAAGCGCGTTTGGAAACATTTGTACCTTAAGAGGAAGTGTTTCTTGGACAAGGCTAATTTTACTACAGGATGCTATTTCTTGATCACTCAGTGAGAATTAAATTAAAGATCAAGTGCTCTACAGACTTTACGAAACCTTGTCATGCCCGTAATCTGATCACCTAATATGCAAATATGATTTTATGAATATTAATTACGTGTCTAGTTCCGAAAGAAGATTTTGTTTTAAATGTATCATGATTAGACGAAGTATTTACAAGATACGTATGACCACAGGTAAGGTTCAGAATACGCAGATAGAATCCCATGTAGAGGGTGTAAAACCCGCGTGTAAAGGGGACTTGAGTATAATAATGATAATATTTACAAAGTTCACTGCAGAGGTATTGTTTGCCTTCAATATGATAATGTACTATCATTGCGAGACTGTAAAGATTCTAAATTCCAAGAAGTAATTGATACCAAAAATTTCGGATAAAAGAGTGTTACCATTTCAAACATTAACTTTTCTACAGTTACGGTTAACAAGCTAGCTTAAGGAATCATTGCTAGTGTGTAAGATTTTTGTAATGTCGTCGTTAAAACTAAGTTAATATTTCCAATCATTCTAAATTTGAAGAAATTTAAATCTGGAAACATTATGTGGTGTTAAAAAATAAACAGAATTATTTAAAAAAAATGAGATGAATTTGACCATTTGCCCTTGGTTTGATATGCATTTGTTTTCTAGGTTTTAAATGTGACATTGAAACTGGCTATAGATTTTTTTAAAAAGTGGATCATTTGGAATTTGTACCATGAACACATGACGAATGTTTTTACCAGAGCTCATATTGGAATTTTTGTTGTTATTATTGCTTTTCTCTGGCACTCCTTATTACACCATTGGAAAATTCGCAAACTTATGAAATCAGCACATATGCTAGGCCACAAAATTCTCCTGAGCCGACCAAGCATAGAAATGAATACAATATGGGAACCATTAAAACATGGCACGTGGAACTAGAACAGTCTACCCCAGTAAGCGAAATAAAGGATTCAGTTCGACACTCCAACCATCTGAAGAAGGCTGGAGCGTACAACGACCGAAAGTTGTGATAAATATGGCGACAAAGATGAGGACAATAGTCCGATTAATGTAAATTGTGTACAAAATCCACTTAGTATCCGAATAAGGAGCTTCAACATGCATAAATACAAATTTTATGCATTTTCGCACCAATCAGCCGTTGCTATTTTACCGAAACTATCGACAGACACAGATATCTGAATTATGCTTAGTGTTTTTTTAAAATCAATTTTTAGAAGAAAATAATTCTCCTACTAATTCGCTGTACTTACAAACACATGACTCTTAAGTTGTAGATGTGTCTCTTCATTTTGGAAGCAGCATTGACCAACTTTCTAAGATATATGTCGACTGGGGCTTCATAATACACTGACTACTCCTCTGCAGAGGGCTAAATCCTGTTTGTTTGTTTGTTTTTTTTTTAAATGAGGTTTCATAAAAATATAAAGCGGTAGTAACAGTTGCAGTCTTATTTTGTATCTAAAGCGTTTTCGTTAAAAGCTTCTTGAAGTATTAAAACCCTGTCAACGGCTGTTCTGCCGCAAATGGGAAAATTCTGTTATTGCAAAAAAATAAAAAATGATAAATATGCTTACAAACATCAGGAAAAAAAAAGAGAAAAAATGCAGTAAAGGAATTCGTCAATTCAGAAGGACGCCATATTGTGTATCAGCTCGGAGGAATTTGTATTTTGTTACTAGAATATCGGATTAAATAATCGTGTACTAGCAATTTCGAACACGTCTTGCCACGTTTCCGTTTATTTGCACGGCTTCTATTGCGAACAATAATGGGATAAATTCTCCTGTGGTCAATCAGATTAATCATAACAAATGGTCAATTATTATAACTGTAATTTCCTGTAGGCACTGAGCCAAAGCATGGATTGGTCATTTTGAAGAAAAAATTGGAAAAAAAATGTATATACAGGATGCGATGGATAAATTGTCGTCTAAATTACGCAAATATGAAAGTAACACTGACATCTCATTTTAAGAGGTATATTTGCCAAAATAACACGAAAGTATCTTGAAATACTAAAGAGTAAGTTTATGTAAAACATCGCCATTGACTTCAAAAACGGACTCCAGACGACTTCGGTATCTCCAGCATTTCTTCTGGACGGGTTCCTTGGTTATGTTGTTGAATGCCGCCATATTCCTTGCCTTCAGTTCATTTTTGATGTTACAAGTTTTGTTTGTCTCTCGCTCAACTATGCCCTACACATAATAATCAAGGGAGTTGCAGTCTAGGGAGTTAGGTGGCCAGATTTAAAAAGTGATGCGGTCGCAAAAATTGTCGGACAGCCAAGTCTGGGTTCTCCTGCTTGTGTGGCATCGTGCAGAATACTTCCAACTGCCACAATGTTGACCCAGGGAAGCACTACCTCCTCAAGGTACTTGATGTAGGCCTCCGTGTTGAGCTTCGTCGGAAGATGAATGTAGGCATGACATCGCCTTCACTCGTGATCACTCCAAACACCTTTGTAATCACCATCGATTCTTTCCGATTCCTCTGCACTGTCCTCAGATTGACACCCAAACACTGAAATTTCCGTGATGGGAGCTTCCGGCGCGAATGCCAAGCAGTACTACACGCCGTTGCCAAATTTAGGCGAAGTGAATTGCGCAATGGTTCTCGTTTTCTCACAGACGGTGCCCAACCGTCACCACTATGCTGTGCAGTTGACAAAAAAAAAAAAAAAAAAAAAAAAAAAACAGACAAAAAAACAAAAACAAACAAACAAAAAACAAACGAGAATACGCGAAATTAAATATATAAAATGTTAACAATTTATCCATAAATATAAAGGGTGTATCAAAAATACTTTTACAAACTTTGGGAGCGGGTTCTTCACACCAAAACAAGGTCAAAAGTCCAGACAAACATATGTTCGCAAATCCTTCGTTTTTGATCTATTAAGTTTAAAGAAAGTTTACGCCATATAGACTAGGTTACATTTGTCATTCGTGTACATTTGTGGCTAATCTGTCTTCAACGTTTAACGTGTGTAGTAGTGAGTTAACTGAGAAGTGTTCCGTTTAGCAATGGCAGGATATTCATATCGGGAGCAGGCATATATAATTTTTACATACCATCGTGCGAATGGTAATGGACGCGAAGCTGCACGTCTGTATCAGATTGCGTTTCCAGATCAAAGAGAGCCGAGTCACCCAACCTGGAAAATTCGCAAACTTATGAAATCAGCACATATGCTAGGCCACAAAATTCTCCTGAGCCGACCAATCATAGAAATGAATACAATATGGGAACCATTAAAACATGGCACGTGGAACTAGAACAGTTTATCCCAGTGAGCGAAATAAAGGGTTCAGTTCGACACTCCAACTACCTGAAACGTTGTGATAAATATGGGGACAAAGATGAGGACAATAGTTCGAATAATGTAAATAGTGTACAAAATCCACTTAATATCCGAATAAGGGGCTTCAACATGCATAAATACAAATTTTCTGCATTTTCGCACCAATCAGCCGTTGCTATTTTACTGAAACTAGCGACAGACACAGATATCTGAATTATGCTTAGTATTTTTTTTTAATCAATTTTTAGAAGAAAATAATTCTCCTACTAATTCACTGTACTTACAGACACATGACTTTTAAGTTGTAGATGCTTCTCTTCAATTTGGAAGCAGCACTGACCAACTTTCTAAGATATATATCGGCTAAGGCTTCATAATACACTGACTAAACCTCTACAGAAGGCTACCCACCCCCATCAACGAGGCGTCCGGGTATGACGATATACTATATCTGGCAGCAAAGCCTCTGATCAGGAGGTTTTGAGGAGCCTAAAAACAATTATTAATTGTTGCTGTATCCGGGTTTACCCTGATCGGGGGTGTCAGCATCTGTTAGGGTCCCAGCTATGAACAAATAGTTAAACTGAGGTCAAACACTATGAAAGTATATAAATAGATATTTTCTAGTAAAAATACCCGCAATACATTTTTGGGAAAAAAAAAACAAAAACATTACAGCAATACATTTCTGTAAGGATAGTTACTCATGCTCCCAATAAAATTAAATTTTGGCATTAAATGCCCCATAAGGTGTTGATATACCACTAAACAAACAAAACAATTTTAAAAATCTTGTCGGCGTTAAATAACCCAATAAGGTGTCGGTATGCTGTAAAACAAAATAAATCCAAACCTAATTTTCTAATAAGTGCATTCCTCTTTAAATTTCACGTGTTTTTAATTTTTGATTGAAACTCATTGCTATACTCACAGTTCCCAAATTTCTCTTGTAAAATGAAACGGTTAATCATTGGATGAGATGAGTTTATTAAATAACAACTGATATCAAATATTTAGAATAAATTAAAGAACTCTTTGTTATGTCTTGCAGCTTTGTCTTGCAAACAAGCAGAGACATGCAGCCAGTTGCATTCGAGCGGGACCAGATTGTGGATGGTGTGAGGATAAGGTAAGTTTCATATATTTTTATTCTAAAAACTTAAAAAACCTAATCTAATTCTTAGAAATTATTCATCAACTCAAAATTCTACCCTATGTCAAAATAATGTTGTTTATGAATTCTTATGTCCTTTAGGAGATTGCATCTCCAACACTAACAATAAAAAAAAAACATTAAATTCTTACATTGGCCACACATGCACCACACTCTCTCGCAGGTTCACTTGTCATTTATCAAAATTTAGTATCATCTAGACCATATAGATCAATATATAATAAATAAAGAAAATAGTATTAACATAAAACAAATTTTAATAGCTGTCTACATTTATGAGATGAGGTATTGCAATTATTTAAACTATTTGCATTGTTCGGACTGTTGTCCTCATCTTTATTGTCATATTCACAACTTTTCAGCAGTTGTACGCTCCTGCCTTCTTCAGGTAACTGGAATTTCGAACTGAACCCTGAGCAGCTTGTTTTAATTCTAAGTGCCATGCCTCCTCCCGAGGTCTCAGATATGTCCCTTTAACTCAGATCTCAAAGTTTCTTGTTCACCACTGCAGTAGCCAGGTATTGAACTTACAAATCATTGGGTCAAGTCACTGGATCCAACCAG